GAGAGTTTTCGGCACCTCACAGTGGTGAAGTGAACAGAACCAGACAGCGCCCCTGGGCGGTGTGTGATGGGCCCGGCGCCAGAACCAGGATCGGTTGTGCTGAAGCTCCGCTTCGCGAGGAACCGCTGCTGCCTGTGTCCCACAAGCCTGCTGTGACTCCTCTGCGCGCAGCAGCAGGAGAAACAGGGTTTGTGGGGCGAGACTGTGGGGGAAGGGGTGTCACAGGGAGGACTCCCCATGAGCACGAGAATTGGGACGGTCCGGCTTCCGCGAGCCCCCGGAGGGCCGTGTAATAATAATAACGATGATAATAATAATAATAATAATTCCTCACACTTATATAGCGCCTTTCTGGACACTCCACTCAAAGCGCTTTACAGGTAATGGGGATCCCCTCCACCACCACCAGTGTGCAGCCCCACCTGGATGATGCGACGGCAGCCATAGTGCGCCAGAACACTCCCCACACACCAGCTCTCAGTGGGGAGGAGAGCAGAGTGATGTAGCCAATTCATAGAGGGGGATTATAAGGAGGCCATGATTGTAGGCAGTGTAGGAGACACGGTGGGATCGTTTTTCCCTGGGCCCCTGGAAGCTGTGCTGGAGGGACAGCTGACCCCGCTGTGCTCCTCCGGGCTCGCTGGCGGGCTCTGGCCAGGGGTGTGCCGGCTGGAGCGCTCTGGGACGCCCCGGCTGTGAAGAGCTTCCTGCGCGCCCTGGGCAGGTCTAGCTCTGGCAGGTGGGCTCTGCGGCAGATCGCAGTTAAACTCCGTTGTTTACTTTAAATATTTGCATGCTGTTTCACCACAATGCAAATTTCTTCACCTCCGGATTTCCCTGCGGCGCTGCCCGTGGGACCGCCGGAGATCCGGGCTCCCGATGAGCGGGCCACCCTCCCCGCCTCCGGGCGGTCTGCACGGGGAGGGGGGGTGAGATGCCCGTGGTGTGGCCCTGTGTTGGGGAGCCCTCGGAGCACTGGTGGGGGCCGGTCGGTTGTGCTCCACTTTGTGACCTGTCACTGTGACCCCAGTCCCACCCCCACCCCTCCTGCCGCAGGTTCTGTTTGCAGAACAGGCCCGGAGCTGATCGGGTCCGGATCAGGTTCTGTGATGGGAACAGTGGCGCCCCCCCTCGCTGTCTCGTTCCTAGCTGGTCAGGATGGTCTCTATGACGACACGGATTTTAAAATTCCTGTTCCCATGCAGTGTTTGCGTCTCCGGGAGCCGCGTCTGGGCTGGAGCGTGGGGGTCCGCCGGGCCTCGGGCAGGCGCTACTGGGGTGCAGGGGGCCGGCTGCCGCAGCAGAGACGCCCTCGAGGGGCCGTGTCTGTAATTGAGGTCTCTCCCTCGATTCTCCCGCGCTGTCCTCCAAGGGCTGCAGGTGTCCAGCTGTCCACTCCCGTCCCTGTCCACAAACCAACCCCAGGAGATCAATAATCCTGATCAGTTGCGCGGTCCAGGCAATTGATCGCCAGGCCTCCTCCTCCTGTTTGTAGCGCGGCATTATGGGATACCCCCACGGTGACCCTCGAACCAGCAGCAGGGGCAGCAAGTCCTTGTGCAGCTCTCTGCCCGGCACCGGGGGGCGCCAGCGGAGCCCGGCAGAGGACCAAGGCACAAGGCCCCAGAGGTTCACAACCTCTTCTGCACTGCCATGTGGGGGATCCTGGTCATCTAGCCCTTGGGCCCCAGAGTCACTGGGGACGGGAACAGGCACCAGGGGATCTCCGTGCCCCGAGAGCTGCAGCTGGACTGCTGTTGAACTACGGCAGTGGATTCCATGAGCTGCACTGACGTTTAACTGTACTCTTTTAAAAAAAAGCCACCTCTGTTATTTAACAGCTCGTCACTAAGGGACATCCCCGAGCAATCTCCAGGAGCTCACTTTAAAGTTCCAATTAACGGATGTTTTTTGGGGAGGGAAAAATAGGCTGAAAGGGCTGGAGGATCAGGGCTCCGTGGCAATGCTGGACACGACGCTGTGCAGTGGGGAGGCACAGCCCTGGCCAGCTGAGCCATCGGCAGGGGTCTGGTGTCGGGCAGGTGGAACAGGCCGGATCTGCGGCAGGCCTCTCTGCAGCCGTCTTGAGCAGCGCAGCTAAACCACAGAGGTTTCAGTTTCGAAGTCGGTGGTTGAGATCGAAACCCTGCGCTGTGGTTTTGACGCTGTGGGACTCAGGTTTGCTGAACACGGCAGCCTTGCTGTTGTCTTCGTCACTGTGGGCGCAGTACTGGTGCCCTCCTTTACTTAACGAGTCTAATTCAACTCCCCGCACCAAGTCGGCGCTCTTTTCCGGGCCTGACGATGTTCTTCCTCTTGCACAGCCTGGACAGGCCTGAGCCTGCTCGCTGGGCTCCGAGCCCTGGGCGCCACACGTTATCCCAGCTCATCCCGCTGGTGTTCAGCAGGGCTGCAGCCTGGCAGTGGGATCTCCGTGGTGTAATGGGATTTGGGGCGTTGTCGCTCCGCAAGGAGCCCGCAGGTGGCGGACTCATTCGGGGTCAGTGTCCCGTGAGCCGACCCAGTGGGGTTCTTTAGTGACCGAACCCCCAGACTGGCAAGTTGGCGCCCCCCTTGCTGACGTCTGCGGGGGGTCCTGGGTCGGGCCCTGCTCTGCTGGCGTTCCGTTCACGACGGGGCAGCTGGATTCCTTGACATGCAGCGGGTTCAGTCGATTCATCGCCTCAGAGCTACTGAGGGAATCGCAGTCATGAATGACAGGCAATATAACCCCAGAGCCACGTGAATCCACACTGTGTTGTTCTGAAATGGGAGCGATGTTCTTGCTGCTCGGCACGCTGGCCACCTCTATAGCTGTGTGTGTTCTGGCGGTCCGATTCCGATCCGTCTTGGTCGCTGGGTCTCAGCTGTTCTGGTCCATGTGCTCTGCTCCCAGGCACAGGCGAGAGCGGGAAGAGCACGTTCATCAAGCAGATGCGGATCATCCACGGCACTGGATACACGGACGAGGACAAGCGCGGCTTCACCAAGCTGGTGTACCAGAACATCTTCACGGCCATGCAGTCCATGATCCGGGCCATGGAGACCCTCAAGATCCAGTACAAGTACGAGCAGAACAAGGTGAGGCCCCAGCAGAGCTGTGACCACCTGCCGCAGGGCGGCTCTCTTATCAAAGCAGCCAGGTGTAGTGGCCGTGTGGGAGCACGATGATGGGGCGGGCCTGGGCACGGTCGCAGAGCCGAGAAAGGGGTTCAGGGGTGCAGGGTGAGGTCTGGGCCTGGTCACAGCGCTGAGAGAGGGATTCAAGGGTGCAGGGTGAGGTCTGGGCCTGGTGAAAGTGACTAGAGAGGGGTTCAAGGGTGTAGGGTGAGGTCTGGGCCTGGTGAAAGTGACTAGAGAGGGGTTCAGGGGTGCAGGGTTAGGTCTGGGCCTGGTGATAGTGCTTAGAGAGGGGTTCAGGGGTGCGGGGTTAGGTCTGGGCCTGGTGATAGTGCCTAGAGAGGGGTTCAAGGGTGTAGGGTGAGGTCTGGGCCTGGTGATAGTGCCTAGAGAGGGGTTCAGGGGTGCGGGGTTAGGTCTGGACCTGGTGATAGTGCCTAGAGAGGGGTTCAGGGGTGCAGGGTGAGGTCTAACCCTGGTGACAGTGCCGAGAGAGTGGTTCTGGGGTGCAGGGTGAGGTCTGGGCCTGGTCACAGCGCCGAGAGAGGGGTTTGGGGTTCGGAGTGAAGTCAGGGCCTGGTCACAGCGCTGAGTAGGGGGGTTTGGGGTTTGGGGTGAGGCCTGGGCCTGGTGACAATGCCGAGAGGAGTTCAGGGTCAGGTCAGGGCCTGGTGACAGCGCTGAGAGGGGGGTTCAGGGGTGAGGTCAGGGTCTGCCTCCGCTCACAGCTCTGCGTCTGTCTCAGTCCAACGCCCTGCTGGTGCGTGAGGTGGACGTGGAGAAGGTCTCGTCCTTCGAGCAGCCCTACATCAACGCAATAAAGATGCTGTGGACAGACCCAGGGATCCAGGAGTGCTACGACCGGAGGAGAGAGTACCAGCTGTCCGACTCCACCAAATAGTGAGTGAGACAGGGCGCCGCCGCCAGGGGCTCCTGGTCCTTTTCTTCAGTTTCAGGCGCAAGTCTGGCAAAGCTCTTTCACGTGGGGGTGACCTGCGCCTTGGCCCCCGGAGGGCCTGTGCGGAGCTGAGGTAGAGCCCGGCCCAGGACAGCGGCTCCACTCCAGCTCTGGCTGCGCCTGGGACAGACGGGGCTCTGGGCTCAGGGCTAGACCCCTCTTCTGTCCGTGTGTCCCGTGTGTGTGTCTGTGTGTCCCATCTGTAACTGTCCGTCTGTTGTTCTGCACTGTGTCTTTCTGAGGCTGAAGAAAACTGACAGGTTGAGGGGTGGTTTTTCATTTCAAGAAGTTAAACGTAGACAGTTTCTGATATGGTAATGACCCTTTGAATGTTTTCTGAAGAGGTTTATAGGTTTAGTTTATTGTGCCTGATCGGCTGCCTGATCAAAGCAGAGATCTGTGTGTTTTTGAGGTCTAGTTTTTGCTTTCTGATGCCCCTTAGCTCCTACCTGTGGCCCATTCGGTGTCCCAGTTAAGAATAATAAAGCTCTAATGGCGAAACCAGGCCTGAGCTGCTTTTTGCTGGACGTCCCAGTTGCTGTAAGTGCATGATTATCCAGCTTCAGGTGACACTGACCACTCGTCCCAGAGCCAGCCCTGCAGAGAGAGCAGTCAGTACACACTGACCAGCCCCCTGTGCAGATGGGGCGCTGTGTGGAGAGGGGGTGGTCACAGTAGGGCGAGGTGTCCAGCCAGTGGCCACAGGGGGGGCGCTGCAGTAGATAGGTTGTAAAGACTGCTGGCGCAATCCTGGATGGGACATCCTTTTCCAGACGCCTGTCCACCCACCCCCAGGGCAAGAAGGGCAGTGCGGGTGTGGTGCTACTAGCCAGTTCCAGATCGGACTCTTGTTAACTGCCCAGGTTCAGCACGTTTGAGCACTCACCAAACAGGCTGATCCAGACTGGCTGTGGTGCTGAAACACCAGCCTCAGTGCCTTGCAGTTCCAGTGCGCCCCCTGCTGTCCGGAGTGTGACCCAGCCTGTGCAGAGCGCAGTGCCACTGAAACACTGGCTCGCTCCAGCTGGTAGCAGCAGGGCTGCCTCTGTTCTGATGGCCAGCGGAGACGGGCAGCCCTGTGTCCAGTTCCTGTCTGTGTCCAGCAGGAGTCCTGCTTGCGATGTGGCAGGAGCTGCTCTCTCTGTCTGTTCGTTTGTATGTATGTTCCTGTTTTTTTTTCTCATTCCACAGTTACCTTAGTGATATAGAGCGCATAGCGTCGCCGGGTTACGTACCCACCCAGCAGGACGTGCTGCGGGTTCGAGTGCCCACCACAGGAATCATTGAGTACCCCTTTGATCTGGAGAATATTATCTTCAGGTACTGGTGCAGAGTGCTGCTTCTGTCGCCACTGCCTCTGTTGCCTCACAGCTCTCCCAGACAGCTGCCTCTCCGGGCGGCCGCGAGCGCAGACCACCCCCCGCCCCCCCCAGGCCACGCCAGGGCATGCCGCGCCAAGCGGGGAGCAGCCCGGACCGTCACTGTAAAGGTTCTGATCCGCCGGCTGAGCTGCTGGGCAGGAAGGGCCTGTAATGCTGCTGCAGGAAAAACAAACTGTTACAATAGCGGAATGGTTCTCTCCCTCCAAGTAGAGAATCTGCTAAACCAATACGGATTCGTGACACAGTATTCCCAGTCATCCTGAATTTTGGGGTCTATCCCAGTCCGGGTCCGATAGTTTTCCGAGCCGGGTCTCTCCCCGCTCCATGGACCTGTGGCTTCACGGCCAGATGGGATCCATCCCGGTCACACGCAGGCTCCTGATCCTTCCAGTCGGCACGTTCCTGGAGTGGTGTTGCGCCCCCTGCTGGTTTTGTCCGTGTGCGGTCCAGGCCCTTCTTTTGCTCCCGGCGTGGCTGCGGGGGTGACAGCGGGCAGACGGGCGCTCGAGGGGGCAGGACCCAGGGAGGCGCAGACCTGCCCCCGCGGTCTCGGAGAGATGCTGTCTGGGAACGACGCGCGCGCTTTCTGAGAGATACGGGGAGTGGGTGGGGGCGGAGGGTTAGGAGAAGGGGCCATCCCCGTATCTCTCAGAAGAATAGTACGGCCCCTGAGGGACTCCCACCAGCCCTGCACTCCTGGGCGGACTGGTCCACCTGCTCAGAGGGGTGTGCTAACTGCTGTCATGCTTTTTTGTGTGTTCCTGTGTTTCTTCCTTTGTTTGTAGCTATCTAAGCGATCTGGATCGTATCGCGGACCCCTCCTATCTTCCCACTCAACAGGATGTGCTTAGAGTTCGCATTCCAACAACAGGCATCATTGAATACCCCTTCGACTTGCAAAGCATCATCTTCAGGTAGAAGAAGCCGACAGTTACTGACTCCAGTGCTGCTGAGCGCTGATTCCCGTTATCATTGTGTCCCTGTGTATCAGTCATGACATCTCTCGTGTCTCACCTCTTTCCTTCACTTCCTCGGTGGTGCCCCTGGGGGCGAGTACACTACCCCCCCCCAGCCCTGCCCCC